GGAATGCCACCAGAAGCTATGAAGAAATGAATTATGATAGCAAAAAAAGTGATTTTAGTGCCTTTTAAGCTTCAGATATCCCAACACACATAGAAAGTCAGAAAATGGAGCTTAGGACAAGGCTCAAAAAGTAGAATTCCTAGAGGTATCTCTTCCATAGGCTTAGCAAACCTGATCCTAAAGTGAGTTTTGATATTCTGTTCACTCTACCCTGTTTGAACTCTACTTCAGAACATACAGTTATTCATGACTGACTTGTAATATTTACCACCACTGCCACCAGTTGCCATCTTTTCCATTCTTTGGAAAATTCATTGGAAATTTGGAAAAATACCTATGGAACTCCCTGTTCTGCTGGTTCCAACTGTTCCGCTTGCTGGTTCAAACAATGTGTTCACTTGATTTTCTTAGTTGTCTGCAGAAACACAGAAGAAAAAAGCAATTTCTGTCCTGAATTAAAAAGAAAAAAAAAAATTCAATCTACAGAAGAATGATGGAGAATGGGTCAGCAGAAGTCCGTGTGAAATATCCACATGGTACCAGTATAAGACTGGAAAAGTGGAAACATAACTCCCATTTTCAAAAAGGGAATAAAGGAAGACCTGGGCAAGTACAGGCCACTCAGTCTCATCACTGTGGCTGGCAAGATCATGGAGCAGATCCTCCTGAAGGCTCTGCTAATGTACATGGAAAATGAGGAGGTGATTGGTGGCAATCAGCATGGCTTCACCAAGGGCAAATTGTGCCTGACAAATCTGGTGGCCTTTTATGATGGAGTTACAGCATCAGTGGATAAGGGAAGAGCAACCAACATCATCTACCTGGACTTGTGCAAAGTGTTTGACACTCTTGCATGGCATCCTGGTCTCTAAATTGGAGGGATATGGATTTGATAGATGGACCACTCAGTGGATAAGGAATAGGCTGGATGGCCATACTCAAACAGTTGCAGTCAATGGCTCAATGTCCAAGTGGAGACCAGTGATGGGTAATGTTCCTCAGGGATCAGTACTGGGAGTGGTGCTGTTTAACAGCTTTGTCAGTGATATGAACAGTGGAATTGAGAGGAAGTCAGCTGTGTGGTGCAGCTGACATGCTGGAGGACAGGGATACCATCCAGAGGGACCCTGAAAGGCTTGAGAAGTGGGCCCATGCCATACTCAAAAAGCACAACAAGAAGTTCGAGTCAACGCATGCCAAACCAAGTGCAATCACAAGCGCAAATACAGTGCAGGCAGAACATGGATGGAAAGTAGGCCTGAGGAGAAAGACTTGGGGATGCTGGCTGGTGAAAAGCTCAACATGAGCCATCAGTGTGTGAGTGCAGCCCAGAAAGCCAGCCATATCCTGGGCTGCATCAAAACAAGTGTGGCCAGCAGGTCAACAGAGGTGATTCTCCCCCTACACTCCACTCTTATGAGACACCATGTGGATTGCTGCATCCAGATCTGGAGCCCCCAAAAGAAGAAGGATATGGACCTGTTGGAGCAGGTCCAGAGGAGGGCCATGAAGATGATCAGACAGCTAGAACACCTCTCCTATGAAGACAGGCTGAGAGAATTTGGGTTGTTCAGCCTGGAGAAGACTCCAGGGAGACCTTATTGAAACCTTCCAGTGTCTGAAGTGGGCCTAAAAGAAAGCTGGGAAGGTACTTTTTGCAAGGCCTTGTGGTGATAGTGTAAGGGGTAACGAGTTCAAACCGGAAGAGGGTAGATTTAGATGTAAGGAAGAAGATCTTCATTATGGAGGTGGTAAGACACAGGAACAGGCTGCCTAGGAAATCTGGGCATGCTCCATCATTGGAGGTGTTCAAGACCAGGCTGGATGGGTCCTTGCGCACCTGGCCTAGTGGGAAGTGTCCCTGCCCATGGCCAGAGTTTGGAACTAGATGACCTTTAAAGTGCTTTCCAACCCAAACTATTGTATGATTCTATTTCTTACACTAAAAATTTGTATTACATATTCAGAATTGAAAGCCCACAATAAAAAGTAAATCTGATGTGAAAGATGTGGGCTCTTTGGACTGAGTTGGCCTCTGCTTATTATAGAAATCCCAAGATTTCTCTAAACTGTCTTGACTCCCTGAATAGTCTCAGACAGTTGACACTGTATTTCAAAACAACCTGCCATATAATTGTTTAGACTCCCAAATTCCAAACACCTTCCTTTTCTCTAAAAGATAGACAAAAAATTTCAAAATAGTCAAGACTCATTAATAAGCCAGTAACACAGCAGCATGGTTTTCTCTTTTTAAAACACAAAAATATCACAGCTTTCCAGATTTTTTATCTCACATCCTCTTTTGCC